GCTCTGAAAGAAAGGACAGAAAACAAAACTTAATCGATCGGTATTTTCTCAGCTGTCAAAGGTAAAACTCAGGCTATCGCTGCAGTCTCGACAACTTCGTTTCCAGCCGTTAAACGTGAAAGCGTACAGAAGTAGAAGCAAGCAATACTGGGTTTTGCTGTCAGTAAGGCAAAACTACCAGTTTTACGGTAGTTCACAAAGTCCTTTTGCTTGATACGCCTTGTTAATGCAATCATACGTCAAATATTAACTGCAGTGGTATCTATTTTACAGTGCTAGTATTCCCAGCTTTCCAATAAACACATTGGATAGCAAAGGTCCTGCCCAGAACGTTTGAAAAATAAAGGGCTAGTCACCGTTCTTACCTGGTGACAGGGCTGATTTCTGTAGAGCTGGGTGTTAAAATCACAGCCAGTCCCCAAAGCGCCTGCCAGAAAACAGCCAGCCAGCTCTGCTCCCCACCACTGCTGTGAAGGACACTTCTGCCCAGTGAAAACTCCTCCAGACTCGCCCTCACCATCCAGCCCTGCAGACCTGACGGCTGGTAATTTGGCAGCAGACCTCTGCTCACAACCCAAATTCTTCTGTGGCGTTATTCCCACCCCAAGAAGCCTTTGTTGTAGTGCATTTGAATTTCTCAAAGCTGTCTGTGTATCTCTGGATTAAACGTCTGAAACAGAGAGTAAATGAGTATGTATCTATCTCCTGTTTGCCTGCTCAGAGGGCTGCAGGGCAGGCCATTTTTTTCAAGTCCAAGTGCCTACGTTGATCCTCCCTAACCTGTGCTAGGTACCCAAAAACATGGAAAGGTCTCAGATTCTCTGATGCTTCCAGCGAGCTGACTGTGGCACTTTGAGACAGAGCCAGGCGTCTTCCCAGCCCCTGACTCCCATCCTTGTTCATTAAACCAAATGCCTTCCAGCTCCTCCTCTTCAAGGTGAATTACATTGTAGACTTTGCCGGCTCTGTACGACACCGCTGATCAAAATTGCGATCGTGCATTCTGGATTTAGAGTATTTGTTAATAACCTTGCTCAGTGAGAGGCGCAGTTCAAAGCCACGCGATGTCTGGAGGGTTAGGCTTCTGATTCCTGAGCCATGTATGAGACAAACTGAAATGAATTAGCTTCAGCAATCAGAAAAAGAGCGTGTGGTTAGAGAATAGAAGAATAGAATGTATTTTGGCAGACTTAATGCTGATAAACCCTAACAGGATTTAATGGTCCAGGCAGCTGGATGAAGACTACTCTCAGCATGAAACTCCTTTCAGGAGGTTAACATCAGTTCAATATTAAGAAGCGAGCTGCAGTGAAGAGTGAGTTAGGGATAATTTCTTTCAAGGGAGCTGGGAAGATTTTGGACACTGCACTGGTTTTATGAGTGCGTACATACGTAACGTCCATCTAGAATAGATTCCTGGAGTAAATTTCCAAATAAGTTTTGGAAACTGCTTACAAACCAGAGCTGTCCAAGTCTTTCACAGCATCGGTCCTAGAAAATGTCGTAATGCTGTCACAGTTTGTGAGAAGAGGTCGATCGGCTTTTCAGAGCTGTGACTGGCTCCAGGTTTTCTTCCCCCCTCTGCCCTCATTGATCAACCCCTCTCCAGGCAGCCCGTCCTTACTGCAGAGCAGGGGCCTCTACCTGGGAGCTTCATGTGCTCCCATCCCATTCTGCCTCCTGGTCCGTACTCAAGGGTCTGGGTCCTGCCTCAGGACAACCCCTTTTTGGAGCTGGCAGG